CCCTGTATGTGAGCTTGATGATGTCCTAGCTCTGAAACTGTGTGGTTACATTTTATCTAATACTAGAGGCCCGGTGCACAAAATTTCTGCACTGGGGGTGGGTTGCAGGGGCTCCTTCAGCCCGGCCTGGGCCCTCTTACAGTCCGGGACCCCTCGGGGGATGTCTGTCTACCGGCTTAAGCCCATTCCCCCCAGGGATCAAGCCTAAGCCGGCAGTTGCACATCCCTCTTGTGGTCTGGGACCCCTCGCTCCTTACCGCCCACCTGCTTGCTGCTCCTTATTGCTCAGCTTGCTGCTCCTTAGCGCTGCTGCAGAGGCGGGAGAGGCTCCTGCCACTGCCGCTGCGCTTGCCAGTTGTGAGCCTGGCTTCTGGTTGAGCGGCGCTCCCCCTGTGAGAGTGCATTGACCACCAGGGGGCAGCTCCTGTGTTAAGCACCTGACCCTCGGTGATCAGTGCACATCATAGCGACCAGTCGTTCTGGTCATTCTGCCGTAATGGTTGCTTAGGCTTTTATTATATAGATATGAAGGGATTTTTGGTTTATTTTCAATTAGTTGCAGATTAGATAACTAAATTCTTACAAAATAATTATCCATAAAAATATGGCTTTACATATTTCAAGATTTTTTTCCTCAAAGAGTAAGTGAAATCACTTTTAACAATAATTTTTGAAGCAGTGTGGCTTTGTAGGCAGGTCATGTCTCTTCCCCCTTCCAGGCCTCAGTTGCTTCATCTATAAATGAAGAAGTGAAGTGAAATAATTTTCTTGGGGCCTTTGGCTCTAACATTCTATGAATTAATTATATTAATCACGAAATGCATTAGATACAAATAAATGATCAACTGCTAAGGAGAAGAAAGTTTTCATCTTAGTAATGCTTACATCAGCTGTGAAAGACATTTATATAGCTAGGGATGATGCTCTAACTTGACATAACTTTCCTGCTGACATGAAAAATGTGCAAGATTCTAAATAGCATATGGCCTTGACATTGATTTGTTATTCCACTTATTTATGCACTCATTGATTAATTCTTATGTGTGCCCTGATGGGGATTGAACTTGCAACCTTAGTGTATTAGGACAATGCTCTAACCCAGTGGTCGGCAAACTGCAGCCCCTTGAGTGTGGCTCTTCCACAAAATACCATGTGTGGGCGCGCACATACAGTGCGATTGAAACTTTATGGCCACACTCAAGGGGCCAAAGAGCCGCATGTGGCTCACGAGCCGCAGTTTGCCGACCATTGCTCTAACCAACTGAGCTACCCGGCCAGGGTAGCCTTGACTTTCTTTATATCCCTCATCTATAACTATGGAGTTGTTGATCAATGCTTTTTCATCTATGTGTACCCTCCCGCCCCTGCCAACTTATTATTTTGCTTTAAAGAACTTAATATGTGAATGAAAAGTTTTAATTCTACTTTCTTGAGGTATTAACTTTCATAGGATAAATACACAATTAAAATGTACATTTGATAAATTTATGCATCTATATAACCACTACCACAATTAAGGAGAACATTTCTATCACCCTAAAAAATTCCCTGTATCTTTTCCTAGCTAAACCCCACTTCTTGCCCTACACAACTACTGATCTCCATTTGGCACTATAGATATATCTTTTCTAGAGTGTGAACAAAGTTTTAATTTGTATTTTTTTTTCAGTCTTGGATCGCATTAAAAATGAATTTTTATTGGTTTCAGAGAGGAAGGGAGAGGGAGAGATAGAAACATCAATGATGAGAAGGAATCGTTGATTGGCTGCTTACTGGGGATCAAGCCTGCAACTCGGGCATGTGCCCTTGACTGGAATTGAACCTGAGACCCTTCAGTCCGTAGGCCGATGCTCTATCCACTGAGCTGAACCGGCTAGGGCTTGGATAGTATTAATAAAGCGTGTCCCAAAACTCACGCAAGAAGTAATTTTGATAGAAAACACAGGTTTGTAATTAAAAATTGTAAATTTTTTATTGAATCATAAAGTATACAGTATAGGGTTATGTATGGAATAGCATATCGGGTAAAGGGCCTCCACGGCTTTGCTGGCACATACGCACTCTTTTGTTGAACTTTTCCATGACCGTTTTTGCATAAATGTGGCTGAATTTCGATGAGGCTCATTTTCATCTTGATGGCTTGGTTAATTGACAAAATTGTCACATTTGGGGTTCAGAAAATCTACGAGTGATTGTTGAGAAACAAATGCATCCACAACGTGTCACTGTTTGGTGCGGATTTTGGGCTGGAAGCATCATCAGACCATTCTTCTTCGAAAATGTGGCTGCTCAGGCAATAACAGTTAACGGTGCTTGCTATCACGACATGATAATCCATTTACCCGATATGCTATTCCATACATAACCCTATACTGTATACTTTATGAATCAATAAAAAATTTACAATTTTTAATTATAAACCTGTGTTTTCTATCAAAATTACTTCTTGCGTGAATTTTGGGACATCCTTTATATTTTGCTGGTTTAAATCTGGTTTCTTAGTTGCAAGCAACAGAAAACAACTCTGGCTGATTTTAGCAGCAAGGGAATTTGTTGAAAGGATATTTAAAATGGCTGGGAGACTGGTGAACCAAGTTTGGGATTATGTGGCAGGCAACGATGCCCCAAATCATATAGTACAGTTGTTCTAGTGAGGAAACCACCAAAAGCAGCAGTTTGAGTCACCTAAACTGTATTAGCAACTTTTTGTATTTTTTAGAAAGTAAAAAGTATATCAAGTATATGTGCCTTAGGAAATCCTGCAACTGTCTGTCAATTGGAGTGACATATCCTAGGTCAGTGATGGTGAACCTATGACATGCGTGTCAGAAGTGACACGTGAACTCATTTTTTTGGTTGATTTTTCTTTGTTAAATGGCATTTAAATATATAAAATAAATATCAAAAATATAAATCTTTGCTTTACTATGGTTGCAAATATCAAAAAATTTCTCTATGTGACACAGCACCAGAGTTAAGTTAGGGTTTTTCAAACTGCTGACACGCCGAGCTCAAAAGGTTCGCCATCACTGTCCTAGGTCATGTGTCCATCACGCCTTAGCTGCAAGGCAGGCTGGAAAAACCTGGCACTTTCAGCCTCTATAGTGGGAAGCATCTGATCAAACCTCATGAACTTGCAGCTTCATGCCTGGTGGTCACTACAAACAGGCCACATTTGAGAAGCATCTGGACGTAAAGGAGCCTACAAGATGTTGAATGTGTGGATCAGGTCACCAAGGAAGTTACTGTTTAATGAAACAGAAACAGATGTTTTGGCCTTCATACTTGCTCAAGGTTTTTCTTCTTTAGATAATTTCCCTAAACTATAACCTCCTAATAAAATCAATGGGTCTAAATTAATTGATTTTATCCAAAAAAGAATGCACCATATTAAAAACTAGTATAATATTAACTAATGAATTTCATACTTATTCACAAAAGATTTACCTTTAAGTTTTATGCTAAATATTTTCACTCTTCTGAAATTGCATAAACCTCACCTCAAGTTGCCTCTAATAGTTGTGTTCATTTCAAGTTAACACATGAAGTAAGTCCAATTACTTCACCAGTTCTACCTGCTATCCCTCACTCTTGATTTCAATTGACAGGTCCAGGGAAGAGGGGATGGCTTGATCCAGGGACAGTGAAGATGCAATGTTGAAGAATAAGTTGGAGGAGAGAAGCAACATGGAAAAAAACAAAACAAAGCAAGGTTAGATGTTAGATGTTTCATATGTCTTGCTCGGGATTTAAGAAATATGAGTTGTAGTATTGTCTTTCTGTTTTCTCAAAACATGGTAGTATGTTCATTTTACTATTTTCTTTTTCTTATCATAATGACCACAAAGAGCAAAGACTTGGTGCTGGAGAAACAGAAAATGTTATTTATATACTTTTGTCTGAGCGGTTATCTAATTTTTCTTAGCAATAAATTTAGAACTGCCTCAGAATAACCTGCTCAATAAGGCCAAGGTACACATTCAACTAATAGACATCTAACACCTCCTATGCTAGCCTAAGAATGTAAGGCTTTCTCTTTTAATCTTACCACACAGCATCAACATTATAGAAGTAGGTTCTGTTATCAAATGAGAAAACAGTCATAGAGAATTCAGGCTACAATCACGAAATGTCAAAGTTCAATCTGGGAGACTGATCTGTTCCCAAGTTCTGGTTCTTGCCATGATACTAGGCTGTTGGGACATAAAATGGGCTACGGAATCTTTACTTGGGCATATTTTGGGCGTTTGGGTAATCTCAAATCATCTGGATTGTATAGGGACAGCCTTCTGTGTGCATTATGTTCTGGGCTGAGGCTATGTATTACTTATGAACTTACATACTATGGCTGTTCCTCTAAGAAGGATTTCTTGTACCAGCATGTCTTAGGAGAAGAGTATACACATCCACATAACCAAATGTTTGCAACCAGAGGTTGCATGTATAAGCTGCTTGATTCATACAATGTGACACGATGGAGATGTAGTTAAATGGATGAGCAAGGAGCTGCATGTTTTCCATGGATTGCCTCATCTTCACGGCCAACCAATGTGATTCTGAAAGGTGAATTCTAGGCCAATATTTTTTCTCCCTAGGTTTTAAATGGTTTTTATAACCTACTTAGATCCTTTGTGTTTCAGTCTCTAGTGTTGCCAAGACTATTTTCTTTCTGCCTCCATCCTTCTCAGACCTTTTCCATAGACAATTCCCTTCTATCAATCCTCTTGCCTAGGAGGACAGAAAAGTTCACTTAACTGATCTGGACAGTGACAGAAAAGCAGAGTTCAGAAGTTTTGCAAGGATCAAAGGCAGGAAAAGTCAGGATATTTTATACAGGCATCCCAAGAACAATAGAGACAACTGGACAGGTGCCTGGTGACCAACAGTTTTCCTGACTACAGAACTAACCCCTCAGTTAAATTGCAGTCAGCACCAAGAACACAAGTGAGACCCTTCATGGGCAATCACTTCTGGTAATTAATGATTGTTAATCATTCCAGTTTGGTTGAGAAACATCCCCATTCCAGTACAACATGGTTTTCTACTACAGGAGTTTTATCAGGTAGGTCTGGTCTGGTCATTAGGATGTGAATATAAAGTCACCTATACAATTTTATGTTTTGTTCTTGTTGAATCATTGTCCTGCAGGCACAGATGTAGGGTCCTATAAGTCCCCTTATTCTCTGCATGTGTCTAAAGAGGACAGGGACAGAATGAGTAGTGTTGACTGAACAAAGCTCTTTCTCCCTACAGGAGAGAATGAACATATGCCGATGAATAATCCTTCCACACAAATTTACCAGGTAAAGACAAACAGATTGTTTTGAACAGTCCTATGTGTTATAGTGATGACTCTCTTATAGTTTTTTTAAGTGCTCACAAATGCTTCCACATATATCATCATATTTGTTCACTTAACAAGTTCATTATATTTAGATAGGCAAGGTAGAGAGTACCATTCCCACTGCACTTTTGAGAAAACTGATTATTAAAGGACAACTTAACCCAGCTTATAAAATACAGCACCACCACTCCCACATCAACTCTGCTTTGCTTGCCTGCTGCCACCATCACCATGCCCAGTACACCGTGCAATAACATTTTCATCAGAGAGGAAGAGAGAGCAAGATCTATTTTTCTTAGCTTCCTATTTTATTTTTTATTTATTTATTTATTTTTCTTAAAATATATTTTATTGATTTTTTACAGAGAGGAGGGGAGAGGGATAGAGAGTTAGAAACATCAATGAGAGGGAAACATCGATCAGCTGCCTCTTGCACGCCCCCTACTGGGGATGTGCCCGCAACCAAGGTACATGCCCTTGACCGAAATCGAACCTGGGACCTTGAGTCCGCAGGCCGACGCTCTATCCACTGAGCCAAACCGGTTAGGGCGTAGCTTCCTATTTTAGCAGGGAGAATTGAGAATCGAAAAGGAGTTAATATTGCAAATGTTAAAATATGGTGATAGAGAAAAATTGAAGGTCCTTTAAACAATGGGGATAATTTAATTTACAAGGAAGATAAAAGTTGTGGAAAACATTTTGTAATATATCTGCCATCAGGGTCACATCTGAATACTTTGGTTATCTGAATAGTATTTATTTGGCTTCTATTTTCCAACTTTAAATTTAAAGTAAATTTCTGTCCTTAAAAATATAGAAGTTTATTCTGACATAATTTGTAACGTAAAAGCAGCTAGGGAAACCTGTGCACCGGTGGGGTCCCTTGGCCTGGCCTGCGGGGATCGGGCTGAAAATGTCTCTCTGACATCCTCTGAGGGGTCCCAGAGGGGTTGTGGATTGCGAGAGGGCAGTTCTCAGGTGACGCACCTCGGAATCGGGCTCCTTCCTTTCTGGTTGCGGGGGCGTCATCTGAGAACCGCAGCTGCCAAGTCACTGCAGCTTGGCAGCTCCTATGTTGAGCATCTGCCCCCTGGTGGTCAGTGCACATAATAGCTACCGGTTGGAGCGTCTGCCCCCTGGTGGTCATTGTGTGTCATACCTACTGGTCAGACGGTTGTTTAGGCTTTTATATATATAGATAGTTACTATGTGCAAAGTCTACTGCTTGGCTTAATGGGAGATAAAACAGATGGAACAGACATTCTCATTGAATTTTTTTTATTGTCTAAAGTTTTACATTTGTCTTCTTTTTTCCCCCCTGCCCCCAGCCATTCCCACCCCAGGCAAGCCCCCAGATTTTTTTTTTAATCTTTACGCGAGGATATTTTTCCATTGATTTTTTTAGAGTGAGTGGAAGAGAGGGAAAGACAGAGAGAAATATCGATGTGAGAGAAACACATTGATTGGTTGCCTCCTGCACACACACCCCCCCCCCCCCCCCGACCAGGGCCCAGGCCAAGGAGAAGCCTACAACCGAGGGACGTACCCTTGACTGGAATCAAACCTGAGACTCTTTGGTCTGCAGGCCAACGCTCTATCCATTGAGCCAAATTGGCTAGGGCCATTCTCACTGATTTTTAAGTGTCCTGGTAAATACATACAAGATAGACTGTTGGAAGGATTACAACAGAAGCATTGGTAAAATTCTATGAGATATGGGGGAAGGATGAGTTAATATTGACTGAAGGATGTAAACCAGGGGACACGTTTATAATTTGGAAAGTGGATATGGGGAAGGATATTTTAGGCAGAGGGACTAGCTTGAACAAAGGCCTGGAAATGAGCCTTCACTCAATGCTGATTTGATGCTTCACTTGTCCAAAACCTTCCCTGCCCACCTCCCTCTGTTAATGTCTGACCTGTGTATGGCATTTATGAATGTGAGTATCTCTTTAAACTCAGGTATGATTTAAAGTCTATCACAGATTCTATATAGGTCACTCCCTGAATGTTGGCTAAATATAGCTGTGGGGGTGGCCTCATTCTCTTATTGTATCACAAATCCAAGTGCATCTGTTCACAGTGGAACAAATGAAGCAGTGGAAGTGAAGTTGGTCTATATGACCTCTATGATGCTGTGATTATAACCCCATTCTTGTTTTAAAAGAACGCTTTCTAAGCCCCAATTTGCTTACTCCAAGCAACATTTAACCAAGAGAAGATGGAGAAGTTAAGAAAGAAGAAGAGGAAGAGGAAGGAGGGGAGCAGGGCAAGGTTACCTGTAATAGAATACAATCTACACTAAAATGGGAGAGCAAAATGTGAAATTTGAAGCACAATATGGCATCTCAATCACTTTATCTTCTTATTTAATTTTCTTGATAGAGCCCTCCATTCTTACATTATAGTAAATATTAACTTGTTTTTTTTATTGTCTATCTCTTTCTAGAATGTAAGCTCCAAGGGCAGGATTTAGTACATTTTGATTTCTGTTGTATTCTCAGCATTAAGTACAGTACCTGGAATATAAAATATATTCAATAAATAATAGCTGAATGAATTAATAAATATCTGAAAAATGTGTATATTGCTTGGAGCCAAGAGGTCTAATGCAGTCATTCAGTCTGGTACCAAATGGTGTTTGGAAATTGTCTGGTTCTATGGAAAAAAAGAATAGATCCTCACTTCATACCCTAATCAAAATAAACTCTAAAGTGTTTAAAGGGTTAAATATAAAAATCTACACTAATAAAAGAGAAACTTGCAAATTGGCGTCACTCCGCTATGCCCACCAGCCAATCAGAGCAACTATGTAAATTAACCCAACAAAGATGGCGGTTAATTTGCATACGCAGGCGTGGAGCAAAGGCTGAAGGCTCTGGTCGGAGTGAAGACTGAAGACTGAAGAGGCTTGGCTTCTCCGCTGCGACAGCAGAGAAGCCAAGCCTTGCTGTGGCCGGAGGAGAGAAGCCAAGGCTTCTCAGCTGCGGCTGGACCAAAGGCCTGGGTCCCAGGTGCCAAAGGAAAACCAGTGCTGGCAGCCAGGGGAAGGAAGGCCTATTGCGTGAATCTTTGTGCAACGGGCCTCTAGTAAAACCATAAAAGTTTAGCATTAGTGAATATCTGTTTCTGGATGTGAAATATTTAAGTGAAAAAGCACTAGAAGAAATCACAATGGAAAGGGTTAGAGTTCATCCACATCATAACTAAAATTTTTCCCAACATAAATATATTTTTAAAAAATTCAAAGGCAAATAAAAAAATTGGAAAATCCCTACTATTAACCCTTTGTAATATTTATATATTCATAGAAATTAATAAAAAAGGAAACTTCTGAGACCTCAGTAGAATATAGGCAAAGGACACAGACAATTTATCAAGGTAAAATTATAAATGTCTAATAAATAGGTTGAAGCTCAAAGAAACAGTGATTAAAACAAGGAGTATTATTGTTTTACTACCTAATTAGCAAATAATAAAATAATTACTAATATTTCAAAAAATATTTTTTATTGATTTCAGAGAGGAAGGGAGAGGTAGAGATAGAAAAATCAATGATGACAGAGAATCATTGATCGGCTGTCTCCTGCACACCCCCTATTGGGGATCGAGCCCACAACCTGGCATGTGCCCTTGACTGGAATTGAACCCAGGACCCTTCAGTCCTCAGGCCAACACTCTATCCACTGAGCCAAACCAGTTAAGGACATCATATTTAGTTTTGATGAGTGTGCATAAATTGGCAGAAACTTCAATGAAAATTATTAGTTAAAATGTAGTAAAAATGTTAAAATGGTCATACCCCAGTTGGCTCTTTGTTTTTTGGAAGGATTTGACCTCCTTGATAAGAGTAAGAGATACAGAGACCCAAATCGAGTCACAGAATGTGCACTACCACCTCCCAGTTCATTCCAGGCAGAATTACTGCCAGGTCAGATGAGTTAGTGTGGCTACACTGACAGCTCCTTGGCTCAGTATATTTCTTTTTATTTGAACTCAGATCTATTTCCTTTTCTCTCATCCTTTGTCCATTGTATGTAGCTCTCTCCAAATCCACCCCTCTCTCTTTTTCAGAGTCAGATTGTGTTGCTTCACTCTTGATTACTTCATTTTGCATATGAATTTTTAAATTATGATTACATTAACATGAGAAGTGGTGGGGGTGGTTCCACAGTTAAGGTAACAGATGTGTTAACTGCACAATTTAGTCCTAGTGCAACCATCACATTAATGATTTGAACTTCGACATGTTTTTGGTTCACTGAAGCCTTAGGAATGTAAACACTGCAACTTCCTCCATTTATATTATGTTTCTTATCTTATTTGAGACATGTTTTTCTAAATATACTAATTTAGGATATTACACATGATACAGAATGTTTCCAAGAATATACAACCATATTATTATAACTTTCAAACCCTCTGGTCAAATATATTTTGTATATGTATTAATTGAATATACTATCTCTTTCCAAAACTAAATTTCCCTTTGGGTCAAATATGACCTAACATCCTTTAACTCATAGTAAATTTGTATTTAAAAATTTATCCTAAAGAAACAATCTAAAATACACACAAAGCTTTAAATAAAAAGCATATGTCAGCATTATTTATAATATTGAAAAGTTACAAACAACATAAATTTCCAACAAGGATAAATGGGTAGCTAAACTCTGGCATAACCATAGGATGGAATGTTATGTAGTCATTAAAAATAGACATTTAAAAAATGAAGGATATGGGATATAAGAATGTTAAGCAAAAAGAAGGGGGCAGAATCAAAATATACCTGTAGTGTGATTTCAACCATATAAATATCTGCATTCAAATGCATTGGACAAAACAGAAAGAAATATGCCTAAACATGAATGGTTATATTGAAGTAATGAGATTTGGGGTGATTCTTTTTTTTTTTCTTTTTCTCTGTAATGAAAATAATTTAAGAAAATGAATTATGTGCCAAAAGAACCTCCAATTGAAAAACTATGGGAACCAGTCCTACAATAATAGGTTTTATTATTTAAGCTGCCATTGAAAGTTTTATAGGAATTATAAGTCCTGTTTGAGTCTCAGTCTCTTTTTACCTTTGAGGAATATCTTCTAACCCTAGAGAAGTTAACTCTATTAGGCACCCAGGGATCAGTAAGATCAATTTCCGGCATACCCAGCTTCATGTCAGTTTCAATAGTGCCCTGTAATGACTTTAAGGGTCAACTTCTGCAGGGAGTATAGAGAAGTAGATTTGGGAAATTTACTCTCTTTTTTTTAAACAATGATTTTTTTATTATGAAAAATTGACATTCAGATGAGCCTGAAAAAATCATAGTGGGAAATTTACTCTTGACTTGCTCCCCACTTTGTGTTTTGTTTTTTTAAAATATATTTTTATTGATTTCAGAGAGGAAGGGAGAGGGAGAGAGAGATAGACACATCAATGTGAGAATCATTTATCGGCTGCTTCCTGCACACCCCACACTGGGGATTGAGCCTGCAACCCAGGCATGTGCCCTGACCAGGAATTGAACTGTGACCTCTTGGTTCATAGGTCAATGCTCTACCACTAAGCCATGCCGGCCGGGCCCCAATTCGTGTTTTAAATCATCGCATTTCTGGGGATCAATAAAGAAGCCTAAAATTAGGGAGACAGAAGCTGGCAGAAAGACCATGTTTCTTATGTAGCAATCCTGGTTAAGGGGAAGCCAAAACAATTATCTTGGCATCCTTGCCATCATGTGCTACTTCAAAACACCTTGGCTTTTGCTCTTATAGAGCACTTAGCCACGTGGTGTAGGAATTTGGCATGTCTTGAAGAAGTCTGCCAAATGTTGACATTCCTGAGTTTTCAGGGTTCTCAAGGCACAGGCCCAATCCCCTGAATTTGCCTCATAGTAGGCTTTCTGAACTTGATAATGGGACAGAAAGGAAGAAGTCTGTGTAAAAAACACACTGGAACAATGTGTATACTTTATGAAAATTTAGTTTGATGGGTCTTTGGTGGAAAAAAAATTGGAAGATGTTGACTAAAACTCATCTTAGGAAGAGTTAAAACACACACACAACAGCAAGAGTTAAGCCAAGAAAATAAAGAAAACTGAGAAACAGAAATTAAGAGCAGGAAATAGAAAGAATTCGGACTCCTCTCCCCTATTTCTTTAAGCCTAAGATGCCCTCTGTGGTACCCTAGGCTTCGAAGTACAAGTCTTCCCTGAACCTGACTCCAGTGGGAGCCCGCCTTCAGCGGCAGGATGGAGGGATCATAACCTCTCTAGAGCAGCTTCATGAAAAAATCAACGAGATGAGCAACGTGTTCAACTCGCTGGAGAACAAGGTAGACACCCATTTCTAAATCTTGGGGTGGGCTGAGGGCTGTCAAATAAGAAAGCTGAAGAGAGAGCAGGGTAAAAGATATAAGTCCATGTCTTCAGAGTATTTTTTATTCACAAATGAATGGCCAGCTGGCCCTGGAAAACCAGTCAGTAGCAACTAAAGATACCAAGGGCCCACGCATCCTAAAAGGGACAGGCTGTGTCAGGGGTGTGACTGCGCTCACTATGGCATCGCTCCCTGGCTGGTCACTGGTTGTGAAGCTATATCTAAAGCAGTAGTGTTGCCTCAGTGGCAGGTACCCAATGGGCTCAAAGTAATATAGGTGAAGGAAAATGGCTCACAGCTCAAAATGGTTTCAAAATTCCCAAAGTCCCTATGTAACCTGTCAGAGAAAAATTTCGATAGTTTTTAATTTTTCGAGAGCTGGGGATCTGCAGGTGAGGAAAAATCCTTCTGTTGTCTTTTGGCTCCTGGGGAAACTCCATGAATCCACCTACGAGAGCAGTGATCATGAAACCTATTTCTGTCAGATACTGGTTCCCTCCGTTTTTCAAGCAGGACACCTGAGTGAATTTCAGAGCACCTGCATGAATGCTAGGTTTCCTTCCTTCAGTTTTAAAACTTGCATACATTTTGCTTTGATATTATATAGCTGTGGATTTTGCTTATTTTGCTCACAGATGTATTTACATAATGAGAATTACCAGATCAAAAGTAGTTGATCTGGAGATTTAATCCATCACGATGACTGCATTAGGACATGTGCTAAAATCCATCACAAAGATTAAATAAAATTTAAATGATTGGAATAAAAAGCAGATTGCTCATGTTGTTTCCCAAACACTCGACAGGTCTGGCTTTTCTCTCTCTGAATGATCTCTTTGGTTCCTCTCATTTTCCCCTACTCCCAGCCCTCGAAAGAAACCTTTGTCAACCACAAAATGCTATACTTTAAAAAAGTGATGTACTTATAACTAAGTCAGTTTATAGTGGGAAGTGCAAGTTGGAACCATTTAGACAACCAGATTCTAAAATGTTTAGAAATACACATTTGAAGGAATTTTGTTCAAGTACCTTTAAAATTAGAATACTTGCCCTAGCTGGTTTGGCTCAGTGGATAGAGCATCGGCCTGCAGACTGAAGGGTCCTGGGTTCAATTCTGGTTAAGGGCACATGCCAGGTTGAGGGCTCAATCGCCAGTAGGGGGCACGCAGGAGGCAGCCAATCAATGATTCTCCCTCATCATTGATGTTTCTATCTCTCTCTCCCTCTCCCTTCCTCCCTGAAGTCAATAAAAAATGTTAAAAAAATAAAGTTAGAATACTTGGTGGCTATCTTAATTATAGAACAAATCTTCTAAAAAAGTCTGTTTTACAGAGAGATCTGGAGCTAAGAGTTCCTCTACTTAGCAGAGTATAAGTTTATACACTTCAAGAAAGTAATGTTATCTTATTGTTATTAAGTTATTGTCTGTTGGAAATGCTTATTTTTTAACCAAGATTTAATGTACATTTACTCTTAACACATGGAACATATAAAGATTTCATACTGAATAAATGATATTAATTTAGCCAAAAAAGGAAAAAAGGAGGAATTTACATCAAGTTTTAGCTACATTGTTTGAAATACAAATATGCAGATTTTATCACTGAAAAAAAACTCAATTGTGTTTCTTCATCAGAAACTTTGGAAATGCTTTTTCATTTGTTCAATAAATAAAACTCAACTTTAGAAGTGCTCCATTTTCTCCACACTTGTTTGTGCTTAACTTAAAACAATTAATTGTTGAAAGTATTATATATGTCCCCCTTTTTCCCCCATTGACCCCTTCTAACCCACTCTCACCTCTCACCCCAGGCCTTTACCACACTATTGTCTGTGTCCATGGGTTATGCATATATGCATACAAGTTCTTTGGTTGATCTCTTCCCACTCACCACCCACGCCCGCCTTCCCTCTGAGATTCAACAGTCTGTTCCATGCTTCTATGTCTCTGGATCTATTTTGACAATGAGTTTATTTTGTTCATTAGACATGTGATACTTGTCTTTCTCTGACTGGCTTACAGTATTTTACTTAGCATAATACTTTCCAGGTCCATACCACCCTAGACACGCCTGATCTTATCTGTGCTTAACTTTTTGATTTGCCACTTAAAAGGGGAGAATTAAAATTTCTTAAACACCTTCAATGTACCTAGCATGTACTAGGACAGGTACCTTACCTACATTTATTCATTTTAGTATCAAAACAGCCTTGTGAAATAGGTGTTGTGATGGTTATTTTATGGATGAGGAAACTGCTACAAAGAGGTTAACCAACTTGCCTAAGATCTTAGTACTTGTGGGGAAGTGCTAAGATTTGTACCCTATCTGACTCCAATATTGATCCCCTTTTCATGTGTGGAAGTTGACAATAGAAGTCCAATGTGTGCACTGCAACATGACCAGACTTGACTGCAGAAGATGAATTATATCACTATCAACAACATGCTGAGCTCCGACCATTGTAAATACTTCTGTGCCTTCCTTATAGATTAAAGCACACTGCCCCTGAAAATACTATTATTTCCTTTTTCATGCTATCACTCAAAAATTAAAAAAAGTCTTTCCTTTTAAAGAAATTCTCAGATATGTTTAGTTATCACCCTTTTTATCATTTAATTTTTTAAGGAAATAACAATTTCTTCATCTTCTAACAACCAGGATATGACCTATCCTTTTTCTCATGGAATTCGAAGAGTTACAGGACCAAGACTGTTTTTCACATGCTTATGTTGTTTTTCAAGTAAATCTTATTTTTTTAAAAATATATTTTTTTATTGATTTCAGAGAGGGAGAGATAGAAATATCAGTGATGAGAGAGAATCATTGACTGGCTGCTTCCTGCATGCCCCCCACTGGGGATTCAGCCCTCAACCCAGGCATGTGCCCTGACCAGGAATTGAACAGCATCCTCCTGGTTCATAGGTCAACGCTCAACCACTGAACCACACTGGCTGGGCTCAAGTAAATCTCATTTTATTTTTATTTTTTTAAATATATTTTATTGATTTTTTACAGAGAGGAAGGGAGAGAGATAGAGAGTTAGAAACACCGATGAGAGAGAAACATCGATCAGCTGCCTCCTGCACACCCCCTACTGGGGATGCGCCCGCAACCAAGGTATATGCCCTTGACCAGAATCGAACCTGGGACCCTTGAGTCCGCAGGCTGACGCTCTATCTGCTGATCCAAACCGGTTAGGGCAAGTAAATCTCATTTTAATCAAAGGTGTTAGAATACACAAGTAACTTATAGGTGCACTTGTAAAATTAATTATTTGCGTGCTTTCTTGTCACTATCAAGCAGCAGCATGTGCTGTATAAAAAAGACCTTCTTTTCCCTAGATCAGGGGTGGGGAATCTTTGTTCTGCCAAGGGTCATTTGGATATTTATAACATAATTTGTGGAGCATAGAAAATTATGAACTTAAAAATTAGCCTGCTATATTTGGTCAAACATTTAATTAACTCACCCCTAATGTCTTGGTAGGGCCAGACAAAATGATTTCACAGGCCTCATATGGCTTGCGGGCCAGATGTTCCCCATCCCTGCCCTAGATGCATGGGGCCAAGATTGCCTTAAGTTATCCAAACTTTAGTGTAACAGGAAATGTGGTCTGTAAATTTTCAAGAGCCTGGTTTCTCAAACAAAAAGAAAAATTCAAAAGGTCAATGGTGCTATTTATAATTCTTTATAGTAAACTGAATTCACTCTTTGTGTATTATTTAGTTGCAGGCCCTGGCCTCTGAACTCAAAACTGGTTTCACAGAAGCAATGCAAGAACTGTCAAGAATTCAACATGGAGAATATGCTTTGGAAGAAAAGGTTAAGACCTGCAAATGTTCCATGGAAGAAAAAGTTACTGAGATGAAGAATTCATTAAACTATTTCAAAGTAGGCCCCCCTCTTCTATTTCACTGCTGAAGAAAGATCCTTGGTCTTGGTTACACAAGATGAAAACTTACCTTTTCACATAGCAGCCAAATAGAAGAATATTCCCTCTATCCCATTCACTAATTATCATGGAAAAATATATATTTTAAGCTTTTCTTTTTTGGATCTTTGTGTTAAAATTAGAGGCCACAGAAGTAAAATTTTCATCTCTCATCCATTGATTGATTCATTCATTCAACAAATATGTATTAAAAGCTTACTGTATACTAGATACTATATTATATATTTTTAGCCCATATGCCAGATTAAATGCATACTGATGCTTACTTTTTAGGAAGAGCTGAGCAATGCCATGTCAATGATCCAGGCAATCACTTCCAAACAAGAAGAGATGCAACAGAAAATTGAACAGCTTCAACAGGAGAAGCGAAGAGAATCTCGAAAAGTGAAAGCCAAGTGAGTTTTCTACAAAAAATGGACCAAAGGCAAAGCCATAAGTAATGATTTTACAGAGTCACAAAGAAACCCTTCCTCACTAACAGTATATAGCTAGCTGGCCACTGGGATCTATGGGTCAGCATCTGATAGAGGTTATAGAGCCATAAAAGTTGGTTAATACTAAGAATTGATGGTAACTATTAAATGGAAATGCACTTAATAGGCAGTAAAATGAAAATGGTATAAAATGGCATGTAGAATTTGATTTCAACTATAAAATAACAGCTAAAAAGATATTTTATTTTTTTAAATATATTTTTATTGATTTCAGAGAGGAAGGGAGAAGGAGAGAGAGATAGAAACATCAATGATGAGAGAGAATCATTGATTGCTGCCTCCTGCATGCCCCACACTGGGGCTTGAGCCCACAACCCAGGTATGTGCCCTGACTAGGACTCAAACCATGACCTCCTGGTTCATAGTTCAACACTAAACCACTGAGCCATGTAGGCCAGGCAAGACATATTTTAAAATAACGATTGTTGTGTTAAGATGGGAGGGTCACCAGTGATTTTCTTTTTATATTAGTTTTCTAAAATTTCTCTAATGCTCCTATTATTTTACTTCTACCATGGAAAATAAGTTTATATTATTAAACAACTAGAGGTCTGGTGAACAAAATTCATACACAGGTAGGGTCCCTTGGCCTGGCCGGCGATCAAGGCCAATCAGGGCCGATTGGGGCCCTCCAGCTGCCTGCCGAGGCCTCCCTTCCCTGGCTGCCGGCTACCGGCCGGGGCCTTCCTTCATTCCGTGCCGCTCCCTGGTGGTCAGCACACGTCATAGTGAGCGATAGAACTCATGGTCTCCTGGTCAAACTTCCGTGGGGACACTTTGCATATTAGCCTTTTACACATATAGACTAGAGGCCCGGTGTACAGGGATGGGGGTCCCTCAACCTGGCCTGCAACAACGCCAGCATTCCTCACCCCGCCCTCTGGCCCAAGGCCCCTCTGTGCAGCTGGGGCGTGGATGCTGGGCTCACGTCGCTGCGAGCTCAGCATCCCTTGCCCCGGCCTCCGGTCCGAGGCCCCTCCCCTCCTTCCGTGCGGCTGGGGCACAGACACTGGGCTCGCATTGCCAGGGCAACACCACCAGCATCCTGCCCCGGCCACTATGGGCGCAGCCTTCTTTGTTGCAGAGTGATGGTTAATTTCCGTATTACTCTTTTATTAGATAGGATACCTCAACCATGTTGACTCACGTAAAGTTTCACCACTAAACATACATAATCTTTATTGTTATACTAGAGGCCCGGTGCACGATTTGTGCACTGGGGGAGGGGGTGTGTGTCCCTCAGCCTAGCCTTCACCCTCTCGCAATCCGGGACCCACCCGAGGGGTCCTTAGTGCTGCCATGGAGACAGGAGAGGCTCCTGCCACTGCCGCTGCGCTCATCAGCTGTGAGCCCAGCGCTGAGCAGCACTCCCCTGTGGGAGCACACTGACCACCAGGGGGCAGCTCCTGCATTGAGTGTCTGCCCCCTGGTGGTCAGTGCGTGTCATAGTGACCGGTCGGTCCGTCATTCGGTCGATTTGCATATTAGGGTTTTATTATATAGGATGTTTTTAATAGCATCAAATTTAACTAGAAATATGGCAATAACATCTGTGTGGCTCTGGAGAATGGCTAATTGTTTTCAGCTGAAGACCTTCTGTCTCCTGGTGCCATTGTGTTGCTTTGTTAAATGAATGTAAATCATCCTAAGCAAATTGTCACCACTGCAAACTCTATAAAGACCCTGATGACAGGGAAGCCAGTAACAGAGAAATAAGAATGTAAATATTACAATTAGGTGATTTATAGATGTTTAAAATTTTTTCTTCAACTTTGGTGATGAATTAAGTTGCTAGTGTTTGACCATTGTTAATTTTATATGGTTCAACACAATAACTTAGAAATTCTCTTGAATTATTCTGAACTGAATCTCTTCCGAACCCACCAGGTATTAAGACCTTTTGCTTCCTTTCCTAGGAAAACTCAAAAAGAAGAGCATGGCTCACAGGCTGGGCCTGCTCAAGCACAAGGAAGTCCTTTCCGTTCAATCAATATCCCTGAGCCTGTTCTTCCAAGTGAAGACTTCACAAACCTCTTGCCTTCTCAGGCCTATGAAAAAGGTACAGCTCACAAATCATATTGAATTAGCCACGAATTTTTTTCCTTGATTCTGAGGGCTTAAGAAATCATCAGAATGGGCCTAAGGCCTTCATCCTTGTTAGAGGAAAATGGTGTATTGCTCAGAATTTCCCCTCTTGCATCTGGAATTTAAAAGAATCCAGAGGATCTGAGAAATCAGGAGAGTCTGCCTAATTTAAAAATGCTTTCTTTTTTGGGAAAATACTGGGTGTTTTGAATTTCAAATGGACCAGAGATAATTTGTTGTACAACCATAAGAAGGAAAATGTTTAAAAAATTACTCTAATAAATCGTTTTATTTCCCATATTACTTTCTCAATCCTTGTCTCTCTGCATAGACATTTTAAATAGCTATATTCTTAGCATGGATAAAACTGTGTTCTGCTTCTTTTTCAGCAAAGGTTTCACTGACATGAGAAAGATATATCTGCCCTAACTGCAGGCAGTGCCCTCATGCAATCTAACTCTGTACTTCTCTTTTTCTGGAAAACCAGAGCTGGTGCTGTCTGTGGGCTGAAACAGTCACCAGCCACATCCCTGTCCTGAGAGATGTTAGAACAGATAATAGAAATTGTAGTTGGGCAGTACTGAAGGAACTGGCATTCCAAGGGATGTCCACAGACATCGGTTAGGGACCTGTGTTTAACTCAGGAAAAGAAACAAAACAAAAAATGATTGATACTTCTTTGTATCCTCAACAAAATCTAGCAAAGCACCTACAGGAGAATGAATGTAGATATTAACAATGTTTAGGTGAATTTTCTTTTCTTTTGGTCGTATGTAGAAAGCCTCCAAAAGAGGCTCAGTGACTTCTCAACCAATTGTAAAGTCCTCAATTGGCTTAATGAACAATTTGGCTCATATATTCAATGGCAATATATGTGTTTTGAATAACTGAATTTAAAAATCTAAATCAAATGGCTTTTAATCAGTATAAACTTTAAAGTACAGATTTGCTTTTTAAATTTTTTTTATCCACTTGAGCAGTTATTTTAGAGATGGATAGGTGCAGCCTGGGAAAACTCACTTGATCCATCTGGGATGAGGGTTTATGGTAGGTGGCTCTATATTCTTTACTCTATGTCATGAAGAGCATGACATACAAGATGGTCTTGTTAGGGGAGATTACAGGAGGGGCTTGGAAAGTAGAGGTCAGATCAATGCCAGGTCTGGGGCAACTGAACATTTTCACAAGAGAAATGATTAGAAATTATATTTGTAAAGTGTCCAGATGGATTTAAATGAGCTATTTAATGGCAACTCCTCCTTCCTTCACTGTTGTGTAGGCATGGCTTATATAACATAGCTTATCCTACCAAGCTGCCGCAAAAATTTGGGGATAATATGTCATAATAAAATATTATGTATTGGTGGTAGCTTATGTTAAACTCAAGATCAAAAGACTAAACTTTCAGAAAGGATTGACTTACCCACTGTTAGTTATAATACAGTACCCCCAAATTCAGTAGCTTAAAATAGCAAACATTCATTATGTCACAGTTTATCTGAGTCAGGAAGATATATACAGCTAAGCTGGGTGCTTCTGGCTCAGCTAAGCTGAGGTTGCAGTCAAGCTGCTGGCTATACCCACTCATCCTTCCTTCTATCCATTCATCCATCCATTCATCCACCCCAGGCATTGATTTAAATGATGGGATATAGTAATGAACAAAACAACAAAAATTCCTGCCCTCATGGAGAACTGGTTCTGAAGGAAACAGACAATGAACAAGATAAATAAAATACATAATACGTTAGATAGTGACAAGGAGAAAATAAAGAAACATAGGTGTGATTTTATAGTGTGTACCAGGAAAAGACCTGAAGGAAGTGAGGAAGTTAGCTATGATACTGAGGGAAAGAAAGGGAACAGCCACTACCAATAGGAGATGCAGTTTTTTCTTTTTAAAAGAAAGGAAACAGCAGGCAGGGAAGAAGGGCAGATATTTTAGGGTCTTAAAATCATTATACAGTCTTTGGCTTTTGCACTAACATGGGAAGCCATCAGAGGGCTAAGCAGAGGAACGACAGGATCTGACATATTTTAACAGCACCATTCTGACTCCTCTCATTACCCTCTTCACCATCAGTTAAGCAATAATTTAGCTCTTACTGTGTGTCAGGTACCACTTTAAGCAGCTTACAAATATTAACTGATTTAATACTTATGGTAGGCTATGAGGTAAGTACCACTATTATATCTTTTTACAAATGGGAAAATAGCACTTGTCACATATTGTGTGTTTTTTCCCACTGCTCTGTCTCCCCCAGAAAAAAAGTGAATTCTGTGAGTCTGTCCCTAGTGCCTAGCTCATAGAAGATGCCCAGTCCATGTTAGTGGAATGAATACTGATTGAAGGCTTTCCTTTCTCTGCAGCCCAAGAGTCCAGATCCATGCATATAGGAGATAGTAATGTGAAGGGAATGATGGGTCCTGGTAAGTGGCTCTTCTTTTTTCTTCTAGCAATTCCATCCTTTCCCTTTTTTCACCTCCCCTGCTTCTACTCCCTCAGTGCCAAATCAGGCATTAAAGAACTCAGGCAAAATGAAGCATACTGGTTATTAAGATTCTGAGACATATGTTGGAGTAGATCAGTGACTCAATTAAACCCAAGAACAGAGAAGGGGTGGGGAAGTTTAAGATCAAACCAGTATTCTTGATTCTTTCTGACTCCTTTCAATTACAGTACGGATGAGTTAACATTAACTGAGAACTCACAGGTGTATGTAGCATAACATAGTTGTATATGAACACACATTTTACAGTTTACTTCAGCGATTTTCAACCTTTTTCATCTCATGGCACACACAAACTAATTACTAAAATTCTGCTGTACACCAAAAAATATATTTTGCCTAACAAAAAATAGATATAATTTTATTCATTCACACAGATTGGCTATTGTTGTGTTGCCTATTATCATTTTTTTTATTTAACAATTTAATGGAAAAAGAGGTCAGGTATTGCATGTTTTAAAAATTCGTGTGGCACACTGGTTGAAAATCACTGGTTTACTTCATTAAAAAGTTATTTACTTAATAGACAAGTCACCCAAATTTTATAACTTATTTCATCTTCCCTCACTCACTTACTCCTTCCTTTCTGCAACTTACCATCATCAGGGCCAAGGGGGACAAGTTCCAAAAGCTGACACTGTCTTTGGCCCTTTCCGTCTCTTTCCGTACTTTATTCCTAGTGCTGCAGGTACCTGATGTGCTCACCTGAAAGGAAGCAGTATGAGTCAATACATACTATACAAATTAAAATTATTTTATAAATTTATCTTTAGAAACTTATTTAGTAGAGACTATGTATAAAGAGTAGAAGTTGTATAGACCAGAAGCAGAGAGAGGTGATCCTTTGCAACTGTGGAGACTTTTAATCCTTAGTTAATATTTCAACCCAGGAGCATGATATTTAAGAATTAGTAACAAATACAATTTTTAAAAAATCAGATCTTGATGGCAAGTGTTATTTTTCAGGAATGAACCCAACGACTCCAGAAGCAGAAGAAAACCTCAAGCCTTGCCTCACAGCCGATATCCAGTCTAAGGGCCATGTGCCCGGTGTGTGGAGGCAGCCGAAGGATGGGAAAGAATGGGGCGAGGAATATGTCACAAAAGACCACCCAGATAAACTCAAGGAAGTTGGCCAGGGCAGACATAGTTCCTTGGAAAATGTTTTATGTGAAACTTCTTTAGCTGGTAAGCCCCAAGGGGGAATGCAGGCTGAAATTTTAAAGAACACGATGACCGAAGGGCTAGAATCCTTGTAATTTAGATTCAGTGGACATATGAGACTGCCTAGTATGTGATTTCCTTTCCAGATGAACTAGCCAAAGCCTTATAGAGGTCACAATGGCCAGCTGGGACTACCACCTTGATTCTGGGTATCCACTCATTTAAAAAATATATATTTTTACTGCCTGGCCAATGTGGCTCAGGGGTTGAGCATCCACACATGAACCAGCAGGCCATGGTTCGATTCCCAGTCAGGGCACATGCCTGGGTTTCAGGCTTAATCCTCAGTAGTGGTCTTGCAGGAGGCAGCCAATTGATTCTCTCTCATCATTGATGTTTCTCTCTCTCTCTCCCTCTCCCTTCTTCTCTGAAATCAATACAAATATATTTTGAAATGTATTTTTTATTGATTTTTAAAAAATATATATTTTATTGATTTTTTACAGAGAGGGAGGGAGAGGGTTAGAGAGTTAGAAACATCGATGAGAGAGAAACATCGATCAGCTGCCTCCTGCACACCCCCTACTGGGGATGTGCCCGCAACCAAGGTACATGCCCTTGACTGGAACCGAACCTGGGACCCTTCAGTCCACAGGCCGACGCTCTATCCACTGAGCCAAATCGGCCAGGGCTTATTGATTTTTTTAAGGGAGAAGGAGAGAGAAAAAATATATCTTTTTGCACTATGAACGGTAACCTCCTGGTTCATGAGTCAAAGCTCAACCACTGAGCCACACCAGCTGGGCAATGTTGAGCATCTTTTCATATGCTTATTGCTTTCAATATCTTTGTATTGCTTTTATCATTTGATAGGGTTTGGGGGAGAAGTGGTTAACAATTCCTTCCTTGGTTTGCTTTTAAAGCTAAAAGACAGACTGTGGCTCTGGAACTGCTTGAATCAGAAAGAAAATACGTCATTAACATCTCTCTGATCCTGAAGATCAAGGCAACATTCCAGGGGTCAGATGGAAAGAGGAATCCCAAAGAGAGAAGGTATCCATGTATTCATTGCCTTTGCTTTTGAGATTGGTTAAGATTTAAGGTAAGTGTTTACTATTTCCACTTTGGGAATTCTGGGACCTGTAAAGAGTTCCAGAAATAGTCTTTGAAAAGAGAATATGCAGCGACAGGAAGTAACCTCTGGTTTTCTAAGCTTTTTCCGGAAGCCTCCATGTGTACTTTAAATAGATCAGTTGAATGAGATACAGAACAGAATGAGAGCATTCCTCTTCCCTATTGGTGTTTTTCCCCATGCAAAACTGAAAATAAATTTATTAACATTAACAACATTTCCTATAAAAATTGTAAGCTTTCTGCACGTTCTACCCCTGTGGGAAAATGAGCAGGGTGTGAAAATCACACACACCATAACTACAATCTGACACTCAAACCTGAGGTTGTCATGTCTTTTCGTCTATAAAACTTCAGGTTTTCCTAGAAAAAAGCACAGTGCTCAAAAGCCTCTTCAGCCTGTTTCAAGGCATCCCTGCCCCTCACTGGAAGGGCTGGAAGCTGCAGAGGCAGGGCTATTAGCAGAGAAGCCTGAGTGGGGCTTGTGGGCTGTTGCTCATTTGTTGGAGTATCACAGAAGTTGGGGTTCTTGGCTTTTTCTGGTCTGATTCACCCAGATAAGAGAGAGCCACAGCCTCAGGATCAGTCTTGTATGAACATTTTTTTTGGGGGGGGGGGGGGTCAGCTCCATAGGATTGCCAATTAGCCTTACAAGCTGAACTTCAGGGCCACATCCACCAAGAACTCAGGTTGTATGGTGCAGGTCACCACCAGATGGCACGTATTTTTTTTCTTTTAAAATTCTTTATTGTTTAAAGTATTACATGTGTCTCCTTTTTCCCCCATTGACCTTCCCCCAGCCGCTCCCACCCCTCAGCACATGCCCTTATCCCCCCTACTGTGTCTGTTGGTTATGCTTATATGCGTATTTGCAAGTCCTTTGATTGACCTCTTACCCCCACCCCCCACCACCACCCTGCCTTCCCTCTGAGGTTGGACGGTCTATTTGATGCTTCTTATCTCTGGATCTATTTTGTTCATCAGTTTATGTTGTTCATTATATTCCACAAATGAGTGAGATCATATGATATTTATCTTTCTCCAACTGGCTTATTTTGCTTAGCATAATGCTCTCCAGGTCCATCCATGCTGTTGCAAGTGGTAAGAGTTCTTTCTTTTTTACAGCAGCATTGTATTCCGTTGTGTAAATGTACCAGTTTTTTTAATCCACTCATCTGTTAATGGGCACTTAGGCTGTTTCCAAATCTTAGCTATTGTAAATTATGCTATGAACATAGGGGTGTAAATATCCTTTCTGATGGGTATTTCTGATTTCTTGGGATATATTCCTAGAAGTGGGGTTCCTGGGTCAAATGGGAGTTCCATTTTTAATTTTGAGGAAAGTCCATACTGTTTTCCACAGTGGCCGCACCAGTCTTGCATTCTCACCAGCAGTCCACGAGGGTTGCTTTTTCTCCGCATCATCGCCGGCACTTGTTGTTTGTTGATGATAGCCATTCTGACAGGTGTGAGATGGTACCTCATTGTTGTTTTGATTTGCATCTCTCAGATGATTGGTGACCTTGAGCATGTTTTCATGTCTCTTGGCCTCTTTCAAAAAGTGTCTATTTAGGTCCTTTGCCCATTTTTTTATTGGATTGTTTATCTTCCTTTTGTTAAGTTGTATGAGTTCCCTGTAAATTTTGGAGATTAAACCCTTATCGGTGATAACATTAGCAAATACGTTCTCCCATGCAGTGGGCTTTCTTGTTGTTTTGTTGATCGTTTCTTTTGCTGTGAAGAAGCTTATTTTGATGTACTGGTTGTTCCATTTGTTTATTTTCTCCTTAGTTTCCATTGTCCTAGGAGCTGTATTGGTAAAGATATTGCTACAACATATGTCTGATATTTTGCTGGCTATGGATTCTTCTAAGATTTTTATGGTTTCCTGTCTTATGTGTAAGTTCTTTATCCATTTTGAGTTTATTTTTGTGTATGATTAAGTTGGTAGTCTAGTTTCATTTTTTTGCATGTCCAACACCATTTATTGAAGAGACTGTCTTGCCTCCTTTGTAAAATATTAATTGAGCATAATGGCTTGGGTTGATTTCTGGGTTCTCTGTTCCGTTCCATTGGTCTACTATATATGTCTGTTCTTGTGCCAGTACCAGGCAGTTTTGAGAACAGTGGCTTTGTAATACAGCTTGATATGTGGTATTGTGATCTCTCCAACTTTGTTCTTTTTTCTCTGGACTGCTGCAGCTATTCGGGGTCTTTTTTTTATTCCATATGCATTTTTGGAGAATTTGTTTTAGGTCTGTGAAATATGCCGTTGGCATTTTAATGGGGATTGTATTGAATCTATAGATTTCTTTGGGTAGTATGAACATTTTAATGATGTTGATTCTACCAATCCATGAACACAGTATATTCTTCCATTTGTTTATGTCCTCCTCTATCTCTTTTTTTCAATGTCCTGTAGTTTTCCGAGTACAGGTTTTTACTTCCTTAGTTAAGTTTATCCCTAGTATCTTAATTTTTTTGTTGCAATAGTAAATGGGATTTTTTTTGTTTGTTTGTTTCTCTTTCTGTGAGTTCATTATTAGTGTATAAAAAAGCCATAGATTTTGGGTGTTAACTTTGTATCCTGCTACATTGCCAAATTCATTTATTAAGTCTAGCAGTTTTTAATGGAGTCTTTAGGGTTTTCTATGTACAATATCATGTCATCTGCAAATAAAATGGCACATATTTAATTATCAAATTTGGTTATATCCAGCTGGGGAAGTTCAGGAGTTATTTGGGCTAATACTGAACTCTAAGAGCTAACTTATCAATTTGAAACTATAACTGGATTTCCCTTGATTGCTTTTATTTCCCTCATTATTTAAGTACTGGACTGTGAGAGTTGAAGTAACTTTGGAGGCTTTCAAAAGAATATGCTAACTACTATGTTTACATAATTTCACTCCTAGTAAGGAACAGAAAAAAAGTTGAGCACTTAATACTTTCATCGTCATGAAAAAGTTGCTTCTGGGAGTGAGGTCTGGATTATACAAAACAGTGAAGTAGGGTCAGTATGTTTTGCCTTCTTTCTTCCTCTGTTCTTCATCTCCTGGCTCACTTCTTCCACATTACTTCCTAATTTCAAATAATATCCTTATTGAATTAAAAAAACTTTTTTTAAGGCCTGTTTTCAATATTTGGTACAGAATCCACTGTAGGTCATTGCTCTTCATGTAACTTATGTGTTTCCATGATACTTGATGGGAGCATTAGCCTTCTCTGACCCCACCCTGAAATCTCAACTGTTATCCCAGTGACAGTCCAGGAGGTATCCTGGACTCCAACCAAGTTACCAGCTCTCCAACTCTGCAAGTACACTGGCCACAGTGTAGCAGAAGGCAGTGTTCTCAAAAGAAGAGGAGGGAGGCAGAAAGAGAGGAGGAGAGACTGAGATAAGGCAGAGCAGAAGAGAGTCCCAGTGAGGCCAGGAGAGGAGAGGAGAGGAGAGGAGAGGAGAGGAGAGGAGAGGAGAGGGGAGAGGTGGGGAGAGAGAGAGAGAGAGAGAGAGAGAGAGAGAGAGAGAGAGAGAGTGAGAGAGAAGATAATCCAATAGTCTGACTTCATCACCGTGCCTGAACACCTTTCAGTGTCACACCAGCATTATTATTACCTGAAGTCATTGGTAGCCTCTCGGTGGGGAGAAACTCTTATCTAACTCTCTTGCTGGTGCAGCATTACATTCTTTCAGTTCAATCAGCTGAGCTTTCTTCCATCAGCTTTACAGTCTTCTCCCAGTCCAGCTGTCTCTGGGCCACCCTCCAAATCTCTCTGTTCTGGACAGGGATTACTTAGATCTTCCAAGTCCACTGCACCAGCCTAAGAGCTCAGATCAGGAGGCCTCCACTCTTGAGCTTCTGGATCAGTTGGCCTCACATATGTGGAGACTGGTGGCCTAGCAGGTGGAGGGGGCGGCAGAGAGAAGTAGAAGAAATCCTTGTAACACGGTTCAACACACAAAAGTATAGGAGCCATCAGGAAAGGGGCCTTTTTATATCCTGAAGATATCTGCTGTCAGGTCTACAAAGACACATTTTTCTTTCTTTTTTTAAAAAATATATTTTTATTGATTTCAGAGAGGAAGTGAGAGGGAGAAAGAGATAGAAACATCAATGATGAGAGAAAAATCATTGATCAGCTGCCTCCCGCAAGCCCCACACTGGGAGATTGAGCCTGCAATCCTGGCATGTGCCCTTGACCAGAATCGAACCTGGGACTCTTCAGTCCGCAGATCGACACTCTATCCACTGAGCCAAATCAGCTAGGACCAAACTTTTATTTCTTAATCCTAAAGGTAGACCTGTGACTCAGAATAGTTTGAATAACTGGGAAAATGGGACCTACTGCACATATTCTTAAAGGGTTTTTTCTTCTCCACACCTGGCTTGTGTGATCCTGTCTCTTTTCTGTTTCAAGCCTCTTCCCTGGCTCTTTACGGTACCTTGTCCAGCAGCACCTAGATTTGCTTCATGCTCTGCAGGAAAGGGTCCTGAAATGGCCACGCCAAGGAGTCCTTGGAGATTTATTCCTGAAATTAACAAATGATGAGGTAAGTTTTTAAAAAATTCTTTATAAATTTGAATTATATTCATGTCTCCCTCATCTACTTCTCTTAATAGAGAATCTAAAATCAGTGAATTTCAGAATTAAAGGACCTGCTAAGATCTAACCTCCTCATTCTACAAATAATGAAATAAAGTTCAGAGAACTTAAGACTGCTGAAACCACCCAACTAGCTAGATAGTTGTAGGTCTGACTAGAACTCAAGTTTTCTCATTTTCAGTTTATCACTTTCCACTGTAACTGCTGCCATTGAACATGCATGTGTGTGTGTGTACATATATGTATTTGTGTAGAAATATATGCATGTACATATAAATCTATACATATAAAATAAATATGTGAAGGTTTGTATATAGGTTATGTACTTTCACTTACAATTTCATTCCCTAGAGATTTGAGAAAATGTGATGGGCAGCTATTTGTCTGGAATGTTTTTTTGTTTTCACTTGGAGAGGGTCTTAAGTTTTAAATTTCTATATGGTTCTACAAATTAAATATGATCCAGACCAGAAGTTGCAAACTCAAATGCCTACAAAGTTAGACAGTGATATAAATGAATAGAAGTAAGCTGAGTTTAATACAATATGGACTGTTGGGAAGTGAGTTTAAGTGGAGCACATATGCTTTGCTACAAGGAATAGCTACTCACCTTTATCCAATTATTATGCAGGGGGAAAAAGACTCAAGTTGCCAGATCTGATATTTTAAGAGCAGATGGAAATCCAGAATTTTGTGTGAAATTTTCTTCTTAAAAACAGTATGTGGGATAATTAAAACTGGTCTGCAAGCCAGATTTTGCCTGCAGTCAAATCAAGGATTGTGGATAATAATACAAAGTTTACAAATTGTCTAGTTGTATAGATTTGTTTGTTTGATTTTTTTTCCATATCACTTTTACTCATTTGTATTTGGTATGCTTTCTTGGGCTGAGAATTGTTATTTCTGTGGGAATATAACTTTGGAAGCTGAGAATTGTTTTCCTGAAGGCATATTGCATAGGTGAACATGCAATTAGTGGGAAAAAGTTGAGAACCACTGGTTTAGCCACTGTGAAGTAGGTTGGACAAAGTTCCTCATTTGGATGTAGATGATTGAAATTAAAAGTAATTTTAGGAGACTGGATGAAAGAAGGTGAAGAGATTAGCCAAAGAACATATATGCATAGCTATGAACACAGTGTGGTTATGGCCAGAGGCAGGTGTGGGGCGGGCTGGGTGTAAAGGAGGGGCAGAATGGGGGACAACTCAACAATAAAAAATAAAAAAAAATTTAAAAGTAATTTTAAAACAAAATATGCATTTTTGTCATTAAGCAACTTAAAAATACTTTTTCAACTTAAGTAATTCCTCTTCTCTGCCTTGGTTTATCATTTCATTTTCTCTCATTAAAGTAGGAATATTGAGTGTTGGTTCCCAAGTCCATAGGGATATCTACCTTCAAACCAAAAAGATCTTTTTAAAAAGATGAATAAAAACCAAAAACATATTAATGAACATATTAAACGAATAATTAAGCTAAATCTCTGCAAAGTGCTTTTTATTTCTTTTTCTATAAACAGGAAAAATAGTTATTCCTGTTTTCAGGTTCTTACCATGCATTTTTATATTTGTTTTCAAGAATAATTTCTTGGATTATTATGTTGCCTACCTGAGGGACCTGCCTGAATGCATCTCTTTGGTTCATGTTGTTGTTCTGAAGGAGGTAAGTTCACTCTACCTGTGCACTGCCCTTTGGTTACATGTGTACTATATGATGCTGCTCATCCTCCCAGGAAATACAGCAAATGCACTCGGAGCTTGTCCTCCAGGTTGGGAATGGTTTGAACAGAGCCACTGACACTCCTCCCTGGGGTTAAAGAAGCCCACTCAAGGATCAATACCATTGCTTTGGTCCTTGCCCTCCCTGTCTTGCTGACCCTCTGTTCCATTCCACTGGCAGTTAGGCAAAATAAACAGGTTTTCTAAGCTACAGCCTGCATGCTGTATGAGGGTTTTTGTTTTGTTTTGTTTTTAGATAATATGAATCTGAATTTATATAATCTAAATATTAAACTTAAGTCATTCTGTAACTGTCAGTTTCTAAGATTATAAAGTGATTCTAGTCATGTAGCTTTAAGAGTTGCTAATGTAGTCCTAGCTGGTTTGGATCAGTGGGTAGAGTGTCAGCCTGCAGACTGAAGGGTCCCGGGTTCAATTCCACCAGGGTTGCGGGCATGATCCCCAGGAGGAGGTGTGCAGGAGGCAGCCAATCAATGATTCCCTGTCATCATTGATGTTTCTATCTCCCTCTCTCTTCCTCTTTGAAATCAATAAAAATGTACTTTAAAAAAGAATTGCTAATATAATGCTATATTAGGTGATCAACATGCACATATACTGGTAAGTATATAATAATTCTAGTTATTTTAGGTTAATAGGAAGAAACCATAACAGAAGCCCTAAAGTTAAGAGTTAATCAAGTTTCGTAAGAGGTGAGGTCTTAATTTTCTATATTACCTCACTACTCCCAACCCAGTATAATGCCTACCACATGTTAGTACTCAGAAAATATTTGAGAAAGGGAAAGGAAGGGAAGAAGAATGGAGAAAGTCCAACATGTTTCCTGCTGCCAAGCCAGCTGGCCAGTTTCTAATCACATCCCATTACCCACTCTCATGAGACTCCAATCCACCCCTAGTGCTTACTAGCAAACCATTGTAATGATTACTTGTAGAACCTTAGTAAATTCATTCAAGTTAAATATAATTTTGTTTGTTTCTTAATCCTCACCTGAGGATATTTTTCCATTGATGTTTAGAGAGTGGAAGGAAGGGGAAGAGACAGAGAGAGGAAAACACTGATGTGAGAGAAACACATTGATTGGTTGCCTCCCATATGCACCCTGACTGCGGCTGGGGATTGAGAATGCAACCGAGGTACGTGCCCTTGACCAGAATCGAACCTGGGACCCTTCAGTCCACAGGCAACACTCTATCCTCTGAGTCAAAACAGCTAGGACTTAAATATAATTTATTGAATGCCCACTTTTGTATAGCGCTGTGCTAATATCTGGAGGTGGGATGGAAGGGGTAGTTTGGAAAGTTGGGTGGATTCAAAAGAAGTATATGATACCCTCCCTGCTAGAGAAGAGTTGTCTCCTTGAGCATGTCCTGAACAAGTGACCTATCCAATAAGATCAATGCTTTATCTCACTCTAGTCTAGAGGAAGAAAATGCTCTGGGAGTAAACCTTTTCTATTTTGCTGGGACTGACACTAGGGTTTGCAGCCAGAGCTGGAGGGACATTGAAGAATGGTTCTATCTTTTTTTCATTCAGGGTGATGAAGAGATTAAATCTGACATCTATACACTGTTTTTTCATATAGTCCAGCGCATCCCTGAATATCTGATACATCTGCAGGTAGGCATGTCTGGGAAAGCTCCCAAAGTGATTTTCAGGCTAAACTCTTGATTTTGGCTTTTGAGAAACACTGGCAGGGATCAGGAAGGAATAATTAATATTTCTAAGTATTTAAATACCTTAAGATTGTTATGATTTCCCCATCCCCACCTTGTGGTATGAGCTAAAATCTCAATCTCTAAACGTGCTTGGTTCATGATGCCGGCTTTTTATGTTCTATCTTCATTTACCAGCAATCTCCACCTCTGCTGATCCAGGATCTTTCAATAGCAGCTCCTGCTAGGCTCTGAGTACCTATTCAGTCCCTTCTACCTTGATTCTACAGCCATCTAAATATGTCCCCTAATCCCCACTCCCCTCACCCTACCCCCAGTGACTAAGAACTAAGAACCATTTATGTAACCTGCCCACTTAACTCTACCTTTTTTTTTTTTTTGGCTTGATTCCAAGGGTTCACTATACATTGCTTCTGTCTTATGTCACAGAAGAAGTATGAAGAAACTGATGAACTGACTTCTTCACACCCTTTTCCCACAGGACTTGTCCACCTTGGAGGAAGTAGAGTTGAGGGAGAGGCTCACCAACACCCTTACGCCCCTCTTCCTACCACTCATTATCCTGGTTTATTTGCTGACTAATCTTTCTAAGTAATTCAATGAAGCATCTTAGAAATGCTTGGGATTTATCTCAGATAGACGTAGCCCAGTATCAATGTCAAAAGACCTTCTATTATATGTGGCTTTTGACCTTAAAATCATTTCTTCACAGTAATTATTTTCTTTAATCCTTTCAACAGTCTCATGAAATAGGTATTATTACCACTTCTTAGATAAGGAAATGGAGAGCCAAATAACTTAAATAACTTGCCCAAGTTAACACACCTAATAGATGAAAAAATTTGGAACCGAAATCCAGGTCTTGCAAGCAGTATGATAAATAAGAGCCCTGGTTCTATTGGCTGACTTGAGTTCAGATCCTGGCTCTGCTACTAACTAGATGTGTAACCTAATGAAGACTAGCTGACTTTGCTATATACCCTGATTCCCGTGTTAAACGAAGATGATAATGGTACCTATCTAATGAGGCTATGGTAAAAATTAAATGAGAAAATATATGTGCAGGCTTAGAGCTTGGCAATAGGAAGTACTCAATAAATGTTAGCTTTTCCAAATTCAAGTTGCATGATGTTCTACTACAGCACAGTAGGCAATGTAATAGGAGCAACCACCAAGCCAGCCTTGATCATAAACATCACTCCTCTTCCAGAGTGCCTTGGTATTTCACATTTTCACCACTGGTCTGACTCCTATGAATCTTATAAATATTGCTTTTTCAGCAGTAATTGTTAAAACGGGCTCCATTACCTCAAAAAATCTAATTAATAGATCCAACTTTTCAGATGGAATTATCCTATGTTCACATCCAACTCAAACAAGAGCAAGAGTGACTATTATTTTCCTTTGGTGTGATGGACAAAGAAAACAGCAAATTTGACTTTTCAGCTTATAATTAGATTGGCCATATGTATTGTTGTTTTTAGTAAATGGCTACCAAACTCTCACAGCACATCAAGGCAAGGTACAGAAGAAACAAAACAACTTTTCATTCTAATTATGCAATGCTGCTTCCTTTTTTCCTTCATCCAGAACGTCCTGAAGTTCACAGAGCAGGAACACCCTGACTATTACCTACTTCTGGTGTGTGTTCAGCGCCTTCGAGTATTTATCTCACACTACACCCTGCTGTTTCAATGCAATGAGGATTTGCTTATTCAGAAACGGAAAAAGCTCAAGAAGTAAGGCTCTGATGGTGCAGTCTAGAGGGTTGATCAAAGGCTTCTGAGGACAGGGTAGAAACAATGTGGGTGTCTGTAACAAGTAACCATATTATATGTTAAGTGGCTAAAATGCAGTGACAGGAAGTAGAAGAGAGAAGGGGAGGGAAGAGAGGTAGCCAAAATGGCTAGAATACGTAGGCACCTACTACCTGGTGGAAATTAGAAAAATAGGCACGTTCAGTCTAATGCCTATACAGACCCCCTCTTAACTCATGTTGACTATCACAAAAATAGTTGTTCCCCTAAACTTGCCAGGTTTAAAAATACAGTTTAAAGGCCAGCATGTGGTTTCTTTCATTAATTCAACAGAAATTTATTGAGCACCGATTTGTGTGTATCAGGTACTGTTCTATACAGTATATACTGCAATAAAAAATACAGACAAAAATCTTTACCACATGGAGCTTACTTTCTAGACCTGGACATCCAGCTTAAAAATAAGTTAGATGCCGAAAAGTGCTATGAATAAAAATAAAACAAGTAAGGGAGGGGATGGTGGTTGAATAGATTTCATGCTAAGAAGGAATAGGAAGATTAGGGAGAATCGGGGCTTCAGAGAGAATAGAAGCAACCAATAGCAGAGCTTCCTAATGACCTGGATTTCCTTCAACCTCATCACATCTCAATAAGGAACACTGAGTCTGTGGGTACTTTCAGACAAGAAAAAGGTGCTACCTTCCAAGCCATGGCTCCTCTAATGGAGGACATCTCCCTATACCATCCCTTTCCTACTCAATTCAGCCAATTAATCAGCATCATTACTCTTGCCTAACATCAGTTTGTACCCTATTATGTAAGCAATCGAGTATGTAGAGGGCCCTGGAGAGAGAACTTTACAGCTGAGCTTCATCTGAGAAACATTGTCTCCCCCCTATCTTTCTTGCCATAATCTGCGTGTTCAGAGAGCCAGTTTCCCACTGTATACTCTGAGAATGATTACTTCCATCCTATTAGGTCATCCATGGCGAAGCTGTACAAAGGGCTGGCTTCCCAGTGTGCCAACGCTGGGCAAGACGCTTCCCCCACTGCAGGCTCTGAGTCTGCCCGCGACAGTGGGATCCACTCAGAAGAGATGCTGCAACCCTACTCTCCTGCTCCAGGTTCTGGCTCTGCTATCACGTAAGCACCTGTTGCTGTGGAGAGATTAATGACAAGGCCTTGGGGTCCCAGGTGGTCTGTGTGGGGTAGCTGGTCAGCCTGGATTAGGAGTATGACCAACAGAACTCCTCCCTCCCTCTTGCCCCATCAAGCCTCTATGTGACAGGCAAGCAGTTGACCCAATGTTTGTGTCCTAGAGGAAGGCACTAAGAATGCTAAGGGGCAGGCCTAGAGGCTTGAGGTTACTCCCAACAACTGGATTGCGGGTAACTATCCTCTAGACCAGCGGTTCTCAACCTGTGGGTCGCGACCCCTTTGGGGGTCGAACGACCCTTTCACAGGGGTCACCTAAGACCATTGGAAAACACATATATAATTACATATTGTTTTTGTGATTAATCACTATGCTTTAATTATGTTCAATTTGTAACAATGAAATTGGGGGTCACCACATGAGGAACTGTATTAAAGGGTCGCGGCACTAGGAAGGTTGAGAACCACTGCTCTATACCTACAGCATAAGTCTATGGGTTTGAACAATGATAGTCTGAAGAGTGCCATAAGAAGATAGGAAGGCATTTTACAAATCCTCAGAAGGATGGGAACCCACTTAAGGTCTCCAAAACATAGAGTGGAGGGAAAGGGAATCCCAGTCAGGGGTCAGTAAAAAAGTCTGGGCCCTGAGAATAAGAAATAAGTCTGAGCCCTCTTTGGCTCAGTGGATAGAGCGTTGGCCTGCAGACTGAAGGGTCGTGGGTTTGATGCCAGTCAAAGACACATGCCCGGGTTCCAGGCTTGAACCCCAGGAAGTGGCATGCAGGAGGCAGCCAATCAATGATTCTGTCATCATTGATGTTTTTCTCTCTCCCTTCCTCTCTGAAATATATATATATATATGTCTGGGGTGATCCAGAAAGAATATTGTTCAGCCTTTCCCAATTCTCCTTGAAGCTTTTTCAGAAAGTGACTTCATAAGCCCTTCTTCACTTCTGAGAGCTTCTCTGAAAGCTATTCTGAGCAGCGGATGGACCTGACAGCCTTTCAAGGTCTCTGCATACAACCCGCTAACACACTAAGCTGAATTCTCATTCTGCAAACTTTCTTGATGATCTTTAATGATTAGACATTTATACATCTGGGACCTGTTTTACTTCTGAAAGAAAAGGATAAAGTCAACTTGGCTACTTTTGGAACCAGGGCTTCTGGAAGGAAAAGGGAAACCAAAATTCCAAATCCCCACTTTACCAAATACAGACAATTCTACAGATAATTTCTGCTTTGTGTGCTTTGGGTTTATTCTTTAAATATAATATAAAAATAGATATTTTTTTCTATTTTTATTACTGATTTCGGAGAGGAAGGGAGAGAAGGGACAGAAACATCAATGATCAGAAAGAATCATTGCTCGTCTGCCTCTCGCATGTTCCCCACCGGGACCGAGCCCGCAACCCGGGCAAGTGCCTTTGACCAGAATCGAACCCAGGACCCCTCAGTACGCAGGCCGACGCTCGATCCACAGAGCAGAACCAGCCAGGGCGAGAGAGGAGAGAAAAGAGTTACCTCGGGCCCTGACACGTGGTGGGGAGGGTCAGCGCTCCCACGTGGGGAGTGATGCCCATCCTGGGCGCACCAGCCATCTCTACGCAGTGCCTCCGTGCTCGGGCGGGTGCTCCAGGCACCCGCTTTTCAGCAGGTCATTTCCACGCTCCTGCTTGAAGGGGCCGGGGCTCGTGGGCGCTTGGCAGGTACCACATGGCGGTGCTTGGGCGGGGCAGGGAGCAGAACTGGCAGTTTCGCGCCCCAGCGGCGTCAGGCTCCGTGTGGCCCCGGCCTGCGCTAACCAGCCGTACGCACCCCTCTTCTGCCTTGTCTCCCCTGTAAAGGCACCTGATGCCCCCCATGAAGAAAGGCCAACAGCAGCAAAGCCTGATGGACAGCATGCAGCCCGGGAAGCCCGGCGAATTGGGAAGATGGAGGGCAGGAAGCACGAGAGGCCCGACAGCCTCCCTGGCGCCGGCGCAGTTCTGCCCCGCCCGAGCAGGACGGGAAGGCGCTCTCGGGGCCCCTTGCAGGCCCATCCCGGGAGATGGACTTCGAGCCTTCGCCCGCCGAGCCCTCGCTGGGCAAACGTGGAGCGCTTCCCTGCCCCGCCCCGGCCGAGCTGCTGCCCGACGCCCGCGGTTTCGCGCCCTCGGCCTAACGAGGAGTCCGAATACGGCGCGAGCTCTTCGCGCTTGCCCGCGGCCCTACGACGAAGGAGCCCTACCAGGCGCCGGCCCTCTTTCGAGAACTGCTCGCCCGCTTCCTCCGAGTCCAGCCTGGACATCATGCTTTCTGCGACCGTCAGCTTCGTCATGGAGGCCGGAGCGGCCGAAGCACGTGCTGCAAGCCCTTGCCCAAGAGCGCC